ATATATATTCCCTCTCCCCCTTCAGAACAGGCAGTTTAGCTTGTCTATGACAATAATACACCAAGCCTTACCATCCACAGGGCACTCAAAGGGTTTAGTACCCAGGTGGGTAATCTTGTGGCCTTTCAAGTGCTCCGCTCTCGTAAACGACTTCCCGCACCCTTCTACTGGACACGGGTAACGCCGGTCATCTTCGTGTTTTCTTGTATAAAAAAACAGTAAAAAGGTATTAGCACGTCACCTACAGAACACATCCACCATATCTCCACTCCGACATTGTCCAGCTACTGCGACATACCAGTCAGCACTAGTTTGTTATTCTGGACTAACTGATGCATCCAAATAGCTGACATTTTACTGTGTCATGATTTCAGTATCTTTAAAAATACTAACGCTGCATGTAACACAAAACCACAGACGGACAATATTGGCGGTTCCATACCTTTTATGCCTTAGCAGCTTTGACATGCTTGTGAAGGAGACCCCGCAGTTTTCAAAGTCACAAATGAAAGGTCTCTCACCTACAAAAGGTAATCAGGGAAAATGAGATTACACAGGAAACACAGGATCCCTCAGCTAAAAACGTCATATGTCTAAAACAATAAAAGATAAAAACAATATATACTTTATACACTTCAATATCCCCAGTGCCCCATCATCATCTAGCAAAGATTAGGTGACCTTACCTTTGCTTCATTAGGGATCACTGAACCATACCCTATGAGAATGGGCACACAACCTTAAAGGAGAACTATGAGGTCAGTGATTTTCACTCAGCCTCATTAACTGAGCCAACCTATGACAATGAGACTGTCACAGGTCGGCTCAGTAGATCGGGAAGTGAGCGAACACATACGGGCGCTCGCTCACTTCTCGATCCTCTTGCACTGACTGGTGGAACGGACAGGGGAGGGGGCGGGTACAGCTGGCTCTGCCTCTAGATAGGCAGAGCCAGCTGTCACTCACACAGCTGGGTGGATCCCGACATAATTGTCGGGATCCGTTCCGGCTGCGGCGTCTCAGTATACCGCGTGTTGTAGCTCTCTATATACTGAGCTTAGGGTGACGGGAGGATGCTAGTTTGTGTCCTACCGTTACCCTTAGGAGAACTATGGGGAAAAGCCCTGACCCCATAGTTCTTTAACAGCAAGGGGTTAAACTACACGACCAGGTGACAGGACAGCAGGGGAGGCTGGGCAGCCATTAAAGACCAGAAGACGTTCTCTGTGAGGCCATGAAAGTAGAAGGGGAAGACAAGGAGTCCTTCCCAAAGGTTCCAGGGCAGTGGTAGCCAAACTGCAGCCCTCCAGCTGTGGGGAAACTACAAATACTATCATGCATCTGCCTCAGTAGGCCATGCCTGTGGCTGTCAGAAACTTGCATTGCCTAATGGGACTTGTAGTTTCATCACAGCTGGAGGGCCGCAGTTTGGCTACCCCTGTTCTAGGGGGTGACTAGCAGATAAATTAAACTGTTACTACAACTGGATCTCACAGTAGCAATGGCGACATTTATTTGACAATTTCCTCCACTAGTTCTCTAGAATTGTTACCAACGTACTTATTTCCTATGGGGGCAGGTCTACGTCATTAGGAACGGACTTCCTAGCGGTTGCCCCGGCAAGTATTTTACAAGCCCGATATCACAGGGAGTAATAAAATAAGGTAAAAGAAAAAAAAATGCTGGGGCATGATCTAGAATAGGGGTGGGGACCCTCCAGCTGTGGTGAAACTACAAATCCCATGAGGCATTGCAAGATTCTCACAGCCACAGGCATGACTCCCAGAGGCAGATGCATCATGGGATTTGTAATTTCAACACAGATGGAGGGCCGGAGGTTCTCCACCCCGATCTAGGAGAGGGAGGTTCGGTATGAATTAGGATAACACTTGGGCATACATCAACTCCCGGTCAGCGCTGAAAACCTCTTACTGAGCCCTCTGCAAACCTGCAGCTCCTAGAAAACCGACCTGTGTGGCTCCGGAGGTGTATCTTCAGGCGGCAGGCTTTATCATACTGCTTGTTGCAGCCAGGAAAAGAGCAAACAAACTGTTCCTGCTCCCGGACGTGAGCTCTGTGATGGGAGAACAAGGCAGTCACTGTAATAAACGTCTTGTCACAACCTACAGGAAACAAAAAGGATTCATTTATTATTTTACATTCATCCAATTTTCAAACACAACTGACAAATTCTTAAGGCCTCATTCACACTGCCACGCTTATATGCGCGTATTGTACCATATGCAAATAAATGGCTCAATGCACATAGCTGCGTATGGAGCCGTATATTTGCGCAGCGTAAAAACAGAATGGAACCGAGCTGCGTCCAGGCAGTGTATTTCTGGGTATTTTTTGCGCATACACGAGTGTTTGTGCGCGTATACGCACGTACAGTTCATTCAAATTTCTATTACGAATGATGCATTCTGGGATTGCATATAGTGCACGCATGTACGCAATATACAATTTTGCTCTTGCGTTGTGTGTGAATGAGGCCTAAAGGTCTTCACTGCGGCCTTCTCATTCTGCAAATACTGTCTACTTGAAAAAGGCAACTCTGTCTTAAAAAGGAGAACTATGAGATGAGATGAGTGCTTTTCACTCGCCTCATAGTTCTAGCCGACCTGTGACAATGAGACTGTCACAGGTCGGCTCAGTAGATCGGGAGGTGAGCGAACACATACCGGCGTTCGCTCACTTCTCGATCCTGTCACGGCTCTCTGCCGTGACAGGGGAGGGGCTGAAATCCCCTCTCCCCGCTCCGATCCTCCAGCGCTGACTGGCGTAAGGAACGGGTGGCCACAGCTGGCTCTGCCTCTAGATAGGCAGGGCCAGCTGTCAGTCACGCAGCTGGGCGGATCCCGGCATAATTGTCAGGTTTTGCTTCAGCTGCGGCGTCTCAGTAAACTGCGGTTTCTCAGTATACCGCAGCTCAGCTCGCGGTATACTGAGCCTAGGGTGGCGGGAGGACGCTAGTTTGTGTCCTCCCGTTACCCTAAGGAGAACTATGGGGAAAAGCCTTAACCCCATAGTTCTCCTTTAAGTCAACATCCAAGAACTATATGCAGATAAGGACCAACCATCCGTCTCCCTTCCAGAGATTTGCCCTCATTTCCTGGCCCGCTAACAACGTTATACCCCGCCCCCCACACACACAGTCAGGGGAACCTTTAGGCCCAGTTCACACCAGAAACTGCATCACAACTGCGTGCGTCTGTGCAGTTGCACTGCGATCCGTTTTGATGCGTTTTTTTCTGCACTAGAAAAATGCTAATGATTAGGTCACTTTCTCTTCCTGTCAGAGCATTTCCTACGTTTGTTTTGGAGATCAGATATGCTTTCTTTGTTGGCTGGTATGGTGCTAGTGTTGACTATAGCCATTCTGCGACAACGCCTTCGCAGGCGACGTCGATGTTGGGTGCACCCAGATGTTTGCTGTCGTACAGCAGGGGACAGTCCCGTACATATTGGATGAAATCATCTGGATCCACAAATTCCATCTCTCCACACTACAAAGAGGAAGTCCCTGGGTGATGACATAATCAATTCTGAGTCTTTTCTTTTTTTATCCGTTGCGTTTTGATGCAGGTAAAATAGGACAAGCAGTACTTTTTCTGACTGCATTAACGGACTGCAATGGTGTGAATTAAGCACAAGGAAGCCCATAGGAAAGCATTGTGATGTATTTTGACTGCAGCAGTCAAAATAAACAGACTGCATCACAACTGCATATGGTGTGAACTGGCCCAGAGCGAGCAGTGGAAGATCAGAACCCTGGACAGAACTTTTATTGATGTATGTAACCCTGTTGAAGATTTCCTCTCACTTCCTTTCAGGTAAATCCATTTCCAGCAGAAAAGTGAATAAATCTCTAACAGAGCCCTGAATACATATAAAAACCCAACAGGGGTTCTAGTTCTTTCTTGCTACCCAAAACTAGAAAAAAAAGATTTTTTGGGGGGATTGACATCTTTAAAACAGAAGGTATTTACATGTCTTACTTCTATAACTGCTCACCATTCCATGAGCGGTCTTGGCTGTATGGAATTGCATCATATTGTCAGGCCATAAGCCCTCGTGGGTTTCCATACACTGCACCTTTGATGGGCAACTAGCTTAAAACAGGAGCAGTATGCAGTTTGGATTATATGGCTCTGTAATATGTGGATACAAGGCGCCTTTCACGTGGGCTGATCCCCGGCTGACCCCATCCTGATCGGCATGGATCGGGTGTCTCCACTGTGACATCCGCAAGCGTCCAGTTTTTACCTCCTCCTTGCAATGGAGGAAAGAAACCGGAAAAGGCCGGACCCCACGTTGGTCTAGTCTATGGGGAATCGGATGTAAACAGGCATGTGTCTTCAAAGTCCTGGTGAAAGAAGGACCCGATTGTTGCCAGGAACAGTGAAGGGGATCCTGCGTGACCCCGAAACGTTGCATTTACGTGATATGCTGCATTTACGGCAATAAAAGACGCACTATTCACTACTAGGAGTGCCGGCGACCCATCTTTACTTTGCGATTGTCACGGCGCCATCTGTTGGTCACCGTAGCACCCACCGGTTGTTTTTTGGACAAAGGAGTCGGGAGTGCGATGGGTTAATTGACTACTGTTTACATCAGATTATCCCCTGATCCAGCATGATCAGGTTCCGTTTGTTTATCCGGACCTGGCCGGAGTCGGAGGGTGTGCTAACTGGATGCTTGTCCATTTACACACGGCTACCCTTAGACTAGCTTTGAGCATCCGATTGCCCTTCAATTTTTCAGGCAGGCCCATGTAAAAGGGGTCTTACTGTACAATGAGCTTACAGTTCCAGGCGAACATATGGCCACGGGGGTTTAGCGGAATTATTTACGTGGTTCAGCTCACTGTCCTAACCCCTTAACCTTAGATTGTAAGCTCCTTGAGGGTAGGGACTGATGTGAATGTGCAACTATGTAAAGCGCTGCGTAAATTGTCGGCGCTATACCTGTAATAAATAAATGTTGGGATCTGTCAAGAAAGTGGAACATGCA